TAGGACCCTTTCAAAGATTTTTATGATATGGGATGTTAGTGCTATCGGTCTGTAGTTCTTTGCTATTGCTTTACTGCCCCCTTTGTGGAGTGGGGCTATGTCTGTTGTTTTTAGTAACTGTGGGACGACCCCAGTGTCCATGCTCCCTCTCCATAGGATGTTAAAAGCATGTGATAGGGGCTTCATGCAGTTCTTGATGAACACAGAGTTCCATGAGTCTGGCCCTGGGGCAGAGTGCATGGGCATGTCATTTATCACCTGTTCAAAGTCATTTGGCATCAGGATAACATCAGGTAGGCTTGTGTTTTCCAAATTTTGTGGCTCTCTCATAAAAAAATTAATTTAGATCTTCGACACTCAGTCTGGTTAGCAGCTTGCTAAAAACTGAGTCATATTGGGACTTCAGGAGCTCACTCATTTCCTTGCTGTCATCTGTGTAGGACCCATCTTAAGTACGGGCCCAATACTGGACGTTGTTCTCGACTTTGATTTGGCATAAGAAAAGAAATACTTTGGGTTTCTTATTTCATTTATAGCTTTTAGTTCTTCCCGCGATTCCTTACTCCTATAAGATTCCTTTAGCTTTAGTTTGATATTTGCTATTTCTCTGACCAGTGTCTCCCTATGCATTGCAAATATACTGGCCTCTTTTAGCCGCTCTGTTATTCTTTTCCGTCGCCTGTAAAGAGAGCACCTGTCTCTTTCTATTTTACATCTACTCCTCCCTTTTCTTAGAGGAATAAGCCTTGTGCATACATCGAGTGCCACAGAGTTAATCTGTTCCAGGCATAAGTTGGGGTCTGTGTTGGTTAGTATATCTTCCCAGCTTATATCATTTAGGACTTGGTTTACTTGGTCCCCCTTTATGTTCTTGTTATTGAAGTTGAATTTGGTGAAGGCTCCCTCGTGACTGATCCCGTTTTGTCGGTCTGGGGCTCTGCGCATACATGTCTGAACCTCAATTATGCTGTGATCCGAGTATATTGTTTTTGATATGGTGACATTTCGTACCAGATCATCATTGTTAGTGAAGATGAGGTCCAGTGTATTCTCCAATCTAGTAGGCTCTATTATTTGCTGGTTAAAGTTGAATTTTGTGCTGAGATTTAAAAGCTCGTGTGTGTGTGAGTTCTCGTTTGAGCTGCCTCCTGGTGTTATCACTGCAACAACATTATTTGTAATATTCCTCCATTTTAGGTGCCTTAAGTTGAAATCCAACAGGAGCAAGATGTTGGGGGCAGGAGCTGGAATTTTCCAGACAGTGGTCAATTTTCAACAGCTGTTCCTGGAATTGTTGGGACGTTGCATCCAGAGGCTTGTAGCCTACCACAATGACTAGATTTTGGTTCTCGATCTTTACTGCTAAAACTTCAACTACATCATTTGAAGCATTAAGCAGTTCTGTGCAAATAAGTGACTCTGCGATACACAGGCTAAACCCCCCCCCCCTTTTGCCTGTTCACTCTGTTGCATCTGTGTAAGATGTAACCTGGGATCCATATTTCATTGTCCAAGTGATCCTCTATGTGGATCTCTGTGAAAGCCGCGAACATTGCATTTGCCTCTGCAAGCAGTCCACGGATGAAAGGTATTTTGTTGTTCGTTGCTGGCTTTAGACCCTGTATATATGCAAAGAAGAATGTCGTTGGATTGGTGGTATTGGCATTTTGGGTTATCCTAGGTAATTTACACTACGTATTATAATTACAAATCTCTGCCTAAACAAACTTACTTAGTCCTTCATTCTCATTCATGAGTGGCTCTCTCTGAAACAGAGAGAGACAGAGATAGAGCTAGCCAGCCAGCCAGAGTCATCTAACCAGCCAAAGTCAGTCAGTAAGTCAATCAGTCAGCTGAACATGAATTACACATGTTGCAGAATCATCTTTCTCTCTCCCTACTTAGGGTGATAGGTGATAGGACATTCTGGCCAGATGACATTGGGAGTTGCATCAAAATTGAAAGAATGTGAAACAAATGTTGCACATGGGTTATTATCTAGGTTTCTGATAATTCCTCAATCCCTTATGGCTACATCCATCTCAAAGCCACTAAACTTGGGGTCAACATCACTTTTAACCCTTTGAGGGTCCAAGTTGTAGATCTACACCTTGTCCACAGGATCCAAGAATTTAAAAAACATTCCTTATTTTTTCTTATGAAATGGTAATCATTTTCTGAAGGTAATAAAACAAAAAGTATGAAATTTGATGGAAAAATGACAAAATTACACTATCGCGAATTTTACTGCGTCAGCAATATTTACGCATTGACGATTTTGCTCACTTTCACTCCTATTTTAGGCCAATTACATTACTCCAGTTGACCAAATTCTTAGCTGTTTCACTATTATTACTTCTATTTTATTGAGTGAGCACAGGAAACTGCCCAATCAATTAATTCAACTATGCAAAACAGTGATCAGAAATTGGTAATTTGGCCATTTTCACACAAAGTTCAAAATATTCCAATTTCAAAGTAGGCTCCTGAATAAACAATGCATGCATTCCTAGCACTAAAGTATTTCCTCTGTTTATCAGTTATTTTCCAGGCTTTACACATGAATTTCCTTTTGATTTTTTTTTCACATAAAGAATTTTTATTTACATCAAAAAATAATATTTAGTGTTATGCAATATTGTAATAAATGTATAAATAATATCAGCGTATTCATGAATGTATATCAGACCCACCAGTTGACGTGTATTGGACACGGTGACTGCTGAGTCTGATGTACTCTTGAACATCGGCAAAAATCAAACATTTCAGCTACTTTGAACTCAATTTCATGCTATTTTCAGTATTAAAACCATTCATCATCTCTATTTCTGTAATATATTTTCCATTCTATCAAATGAGACCAAGCAAACACAAATACAACCATAAAAACTATATGAAAATACACTGCAAAGTCGGTGTTTTAATCCAAACACATGGTCTCATTTTTTTTCTCATTATAAATATTTACATTAAAATGTAAATATTTCTTATTTATAAATTAAAATGTAAATATTTCTTATTTATAAATTAAAATGTAAATGTTTCTTATTTATAAATTAAAATGTGAATATTTCTTATTTGTAAATTACATACATAGTTTAAGTGTGAACAGTGGTGGTGGGTTCTGCTGGTGCCTCCACCACCACCACCACCACTAATGTGTACAGCTTCTCTCAGTGGCCCTTATAAACCCAACAACAACACTTCCACCACTGCTGCAGGATTTGTTTTATATGGTGCACACTTGCCACATAGATCCATTCTCTCATATTTAGGCCTAAATTTACCACTTACAGCTTATCTGGGTGAGCTGAGCTCATCGCTTAGAACTACGGGACTGTTAATACGACATGGCATTAGTGAATCCCTGGGGTTTGTTGTGCTGTTTGCTCTAGCTGGTGCTAAATTGAAATGGTGCTCCCACAAAGTACTAACTGGTCCCAGATTTTTTTAATACTTCGCACACTGAGTGTTAAAGAGCCATTCTATACTGCCTAGGCCTATCATGCCAAATTTGAAGGCAGGAAAAATAGTGCGTAGAACAACATCATGAGCGCTAGCAGTAAAACGTAGATAAATGTTTGGACAATTAACCCTTTCAGGGTCCAAGGCCCAAATCTGGAGTCACGCACCAGTGTCCAAGAATTTTCAAAAAAAAAAATTTGTTATTTTTTCTTATGAAATCGTAGAGGATCTTTTTGTGAAGGTAATAAAACAAAAAGTACGAAATTTGGTGGAAAATTGACGAAATTATGCTCTCGCGAATTTTGATGTGTCAGCGATATTTACGAATCGGCGATTTTGCCGACTTTGACTCCCATTTTAGGCCAATTACATTATTCCAATCAACCAAATTCTTAGCTATTTCACTAGTATTACTTCTATTCTATCGATTGAGCACAAGAAATCGCCAAGTCACCTGTTTCAACTACAAAATAAAGTGATCGGAAATTGTTAATTTGGCCAATTTAACACAAAGTTCAAAATATTCCAGTTTCAAAATAGGGTCCAGAATGAACAATGTAGGCATTCCTGGCACTAAACTAACATTTCCTCTGTTCATTAGTTATGTTTTGAGGCTTTACAAATAAATTACATTTTGATTTTTTATTCACATAATGAATTTTTATTCACACCAAAAAATAGAAGATTTACTGTTATGCAATACTGTAATAATTGTATAAATATCATCACCATATTTGTGAATGTATATTAGACCCACCAGCTGACGTGTATTAGACGTGTGAGGTCGTTTGTTTACTCTTGAATATCGGCAAAAATTTAACTTTTCTGCTACTTTGAGCTCAGTTTCAAGCCATTTCCTGTGCTAAAACCAATCAAAATCATCTCTATTTCTGTAATATGTCTTCCATTCTATCAAATGAGACCAAGAAATCGCAAATACAACTATAAAAAACATACGAAAAAACACTGCAAAGTTGCTGTTTTAATCGAAAAATCATGATTTCATTTTTTTTCTCTCGTTATACACAGTGTGCTGCAGGATCTGTTTTATGTGGTGCACACATACCACATAGATGTATTCTCTCATATCTAGGCCCAAATGTACCACTCACAGTTTATCAGAGTGAGCTGAGTTCATGGCATAGATCTACGGTTTGGACCCTGAACGTAAAGCCGTAGATCTACGGGACAGACCCTGAAAGGGTTAAAGGGTTAATCTCATTCCTAAACTTCTTATTCTCAGCAAAATATGTTAATAAAGCTTCACCTTTTGCACTCCCTCACCACTGTGTAACTTCTATATTTCTCTCGATACACATCACCTTCTGTATATTACTTCTACATTGTAAAAAAAACTCTCATCGGCTAACTTCTCCTCCCTTACCACCCTCTTTACCTCATCTTTCCATCAATCTCTCCTCTTCCCACCTAGATACACCTTATAAAAACTAATACATGTTCTTTTCTTTCTACAATCTATTTCCTCTTCTAAAATAAGGTTAGAATGTTTTTATGCAAGAAAGATTACAGCTTACCTCTTTTTCTTCAATTTTTTCTTTTCTCTCCTCAACAGCTTCTGAATTATTTGAAGCATTTGGAGTCAAACAATTTGCTACGAGGATTGTGCGAACACTTGAAGCATTCCGATTATAAAACTTGAATAAGCGGCTGATGATTGCTTGGTGCTCTGAATTATTTTCCTGATTAGCTTTATTAAGCCAGATAACACTAGTGCTAACCTGAAAATTATATTCAATTAATATTTTAAAAACTAACATTTTCTATGTTAATATTAAATGTACAAGCTCATAATATAACTAAAGAATTCTACAGTACACACAATACTGGCAAACAGATTGGTAGTGTACTGCGAGTAAAAACAAATAAGCACATAAATGAACACTATAATGACTGCAAAACTTCAGTAAGAATATAAAATTTCTGATATCCTTAGCACAATAAATTGTTTTATTACTATGTTGCAAATGATCATTTTCTCAGCTTTTATACTTGCAGGACAAAAGGTAACAAAAATGATGACTAGAACATAAGAACATAAGAAAGGAGGAACACTGCAGCAGGCCTGTTGGCCCATACTAGGCAGGTCCTTCACAATCCATCCCACTATTTGTATCAATTTTATTCTTGTGAAAATAATAATCCCCAAATATTGTTTACAAACTGATCAACACATGCATTCAAATGGCAATTAAAATCAATTACATTGGTCCCATGAGTTACAAATATTAATCTGTTCCAGAAGATGTACAGTTGGGTCCCACTTATACGGGAGGTTTCAGGCTACTGCCGTAAAGCTGACATCGCAGGAAAGCAGAACACCATTTTTTCTACTTATAAATGCACATATATATTAAGTTAGCAATAGAAATAGGCATTAAAAACAATAAAAATAAAATATACACAGCAAAGGAGGTTTTGTCTGCGAGGGGTTGGACTTCCAGCAAGCGTGCGTGAGCGTATTTGATAGGAGTGAATGGAGACAAATGGTTTTTAACCCTTTCAGGGTCCAGAGGCCAATTTTCAAAGGGTGCACCAGTGTCCAAGAATTTTAAAAAAAAAACTTTTATTATTTTTTCTTATGAAATGGTAGAGAATCTTTTTCTGAAGGTAATAAAACAAAAAGTACGAAATTTGATGGAAAATTGACGAAATTATGCTCTCGCAAATTTTGATGTGTCAGCGATATTCACGAATCGGCGATTTTGCCGACTTTGACTCCCATTTTAGGCCAATTACATTATTCCAGTCGACCAAATTCTTAGCTATTTCACTAGTATTACTTCTATTCTATCAAGTGAACACAAGAAATCGCCAAGTCAACTGTTTCAACTACAAAATAAAGTGATCGGAAATTGGTAATTTGGCCAATTTAACACAAAGTTCAAAATATTCCAATTTCAAAATAGGGTCCAGAATAAACAAGGTAGGCATTCCTGGCACTAAACTAACATTTCCTCTGTTCATTAGTTACATTTTGAGGCTTTACAAATGAATTCCATTTTGATTTTTTATTCACAATGAATTTTTATCCACACCAAAAAATAAAAGATTTACTGTTATGCAATAGTGTAATAATTGTATAAATATCATCACCACATTTGTGAATGTATATTAGACCCACGAGCTGGCGTGTATTAGACGGTGTGAGGTCGTTTGTTTACTCTTGAACATCAACAAAAATTTAACATTTCCACTACTTTGAGCTCAGTTTCAAGCCATTTCCAGTGCTAAAACCAATCAAAATCATCTCTATTTCTGTAACATGTCTTCCATTCTATCAAATGAGACCAAGAAATCACAAATACAACTATAAAAAAGAAACGAAAAACACTGCAAATTCGCTGTTTTAACCCTTTCAGGGTTCGTCCCGTAGATCTACAGCTTTACGTTCAGGGTCCAAACCGTAGATCTACGCCAAAATTCTAGCGCTGTCAAATTTAGCATGAGAAGGCTGGTAGGCCTACATCTAAGAGAATGGGTCTGGGTGGTCAGTGTGCACACCATAGAAAAAATCTGGACACCCACATGGCACTGTGGGAACGCCGGCAAAGTAGCTTTGTTCATAGTGCCTGGCGGCAAGATGCTCTCACTCCCCACTCACTCTCCGGGCGAATTCTGACTCTCCTCTTCACAACTTACAGTTCTAAGACTGATGGAAGTGGAGCTGAAGATGAATTCTATGGTTTTGAACCATATGGTACCACTGTGCCATATGGTACAATGGTACCATATGGTACAATGGTGCCATGTCATACAATGGTATCATATGGTACAATGGTATATGGTACCATATGGTACAATATATGTATAGTACATTGTACCATATAGTACATTGTACCATATAGTACATTGTACCATATGGTACAGGGTACAGGGACCCTAATGGAAATAAATGTCTGACTTTTTTGGGTTATCCTAGGTTCTCCAAACATATGCTGCTAAGTATGATATTCTATGTAACTTTATTTGTGTATAACTAAATAAACTTACTTATGATGCCACATGCACTTGAGTAAGTTTATTCAGGTGTACAGAAATACAATTACATAGATTATCATACATAGTAGCATATGTATAAAATTCTGGGACAACGCAAAAAAGTCAGGGTGACTTATTTCTATAGTTATCCCTGTATCTGTACCATATGGTACCCTGTACCATATGGTACCCTGCACCATAGGGTACCCTGCACCATATGGTACCCTGCACCATATTGTACCCTGCACCATATGGTACCCTGTACCATATGGTACCCTGTACCATATGGTACCCTGTACCATATGGTACCTTGTACCATATGGTACCCTGCACCATATGTTATCCTGTACTGCATGGTACCCTTTACCATATAGTACAATGTACCATCTGGTACCCTGTAACATATGATACTGTGTACCATATGGTCAATAGGTGTTGGTGGCATGAGACACCAGCCAAGACTGAGTGAGTGGCGACGCAAGCTAGCTACTGACTCCGCAGTTTCCGAGACAAAGTGCTTTGTCATCCACCTCAAGGAACACATCAAGATCCTGTACACTTGTAAATATATAATAGAACATTACTAATATACAACATTTTTGCATATATTTGTTGTAAACAACTATTGTAACCAAAATAATAATGAAAATATTAGTGTGTTGAATACAACAGTACCATATGGTACAATGAACCATATGGTATCATTGTACTGTATGGTACAATGTACCATATGGTACCGTTGCATCATATGGTACCATTACACCATATGGTACCATAAGGTACCATTGCACCATATGGTACCATTGTATCATATGGTACCACTGTACCAAATGGTGCCATTCTACCATATTATACCATTGTATCATATGGTACCATTGTATCATGTGCCACTGCACCATATTGTACCATATGGTACCATTGTATCATATGATGCTATTGTACCATATGGTACCATTGCACCCTATGGTACCATTGCACCCTATGGCACCACTGTACCATATGGTACTATATGGTACCATTGTACCAAATGGTGCCATTCTACCATGTGGTACCATTGTATCATGGTACCATTGTATCATGTGCCATTGTACCATATTGTACCATATGGCACCATTGTACCATATGGTACCGTTGTATTCAACACAACCGCACTAATATTTTCATCATTTTGTTTACAATAAACTTGTAAACAAGTTTTGTAAGCAATATAATGATAAACAAATTAGTGCAGTTATTGTGTTGAATACAATGAGTGTACACTTATACAATATACATTATACTGGTCTCACAGGCCACAAATGTTATTAGAAAAATAAAAAAATTAGAAAAGAAAAGAAAAAAGTATAAAAAAACATCAAATCAAAAAATGGGATTTTGCGGAAGTCACTGATGTTGCCGCCACCCGGTCATTTTGGGTCAACTTCCCGCCGCTGTATCTCCCTAAGTACTGATCAGAAAATTTTTTTTTTTGTCTTATTACCTTCACAAAAATATACTCTTTAATTCTGTAAGAAAAAATAATTTTTTTTTTTTTTTCAAATTTCTTGGACACTGGAGCACCACTTCAGATTTTGGCCTTGGACCATGAAGGGGTTAATCGAAAATCACAGTCTCAGTTTTTTTCCCTCTCATTATACACAGTGTGCTGCAGGATTTGTTTTATGTGGTACACACATACCACATAGAAGCATTCTCTCATATCTAGGCCCAAATTTACCACTCACAGTTTAACAGAGTGAGCTGAGCTCATGGCGAAGATCTATGGTTTGGACCCTGAATGTAAAGCCATAGATCTACGGTTTGGACCCTGAATGTAAAGCCATAGATCTACGGGACAGACCCTGAAAGGGTTAATACTTGACGTGCTGTTGGAGTGTGAGTAAAGTAACATTTATGAAGGGATTCAGGGAAACTGGCAGGCCAGACTTGAGTCCTGGAGATGGGAAATACGGTGTCTACACCCTGAAGGAGGGGTGTTAATGTTGCAGTTTTATAACTGTATTGTAAAGCACCCCTCTGGCAAGACAGTGATGGAGTGAATGATAATGAAAGTTTTTCTTTTTCAGGCCACCCTGCCTTGGTGGGAATTGGTCGATGTGTAAATAAAAAAAAATAATATACACACAATGCACTCATTACTTACCTTAAAATACAGTGGACTCCCACCTTATGATATTAATCAGTTCCTGAGAGCTCATCGTATGCCGAAATTATCGTAAGGTGAATTAATTTCCCCCATTAAAAATAATGGAAATCAAATTAATCCGTGCAAGACACCACAAAGTATGAAAAAAAAAAAATTTACCACACAAACTGACACTGACACCTTTATTGAAGATCTGGTGATGATTGATGGGATGGGAGGAGGGAAGAGTGTGGAAGTTGGTAATGTTTAGAAGGGGAATCCCCTTCCATTAGGTCTTTAGGTAGCACGTTCTTTTCTGGGGTTACTTCCCTTCTTCTTTTAATGCCATTAGGACCAGCTGACCATGGTGCAGCAACAGATGATGGTGGTGTAGCAGCAGCTGACTGTTGTGCAGCAACAGCTGATCGTGGTGCAGCAACAGCTGACGGTGGTGTAGCAGCAGCTGACTGTGGTGCAGCAGCAGCTGACCATGGTGCAGCAGCAGCTGACCATGGTGCAACAGCAGCTGACCATGGATCAGAAACAGCTGACTTGTGCAGCAACAGCTGACCATGGTGCAGCAACAGCTGACTGTGGTGCAGCAACAGCCAACTGTGGTGCAGCAACAGCTGACGGTGGTGCAGCAGCAGCTGACCGTGGTACGATAGTACATATTTCTCACTCTTTTTACCACAGGGTTGGCACTAGAAGCTTTCTTTGGGCCCATGGTGGTTTATTTAGCAGTTACAAGCACTATAAACAATGGAATAATACAAAATGTATCGAATGTATACATGCAACCGGCCACCCTAGCTTGTAAACAATGAGGGCAAGGCAGCTGAGGCACTCAGGCTGGATGGACAGGTTCGGGATAAGTCATGTTGGTCAGAAACAGCTGATGGTGGTGCAGCAGCAGCTGACTGTGGTGCAGCAGCAGCTGACAGTGGTGCAGCAGCAGCTGACCGTGGTGCAGCGGCAGCTGACCATGGTTCAGCAACAGCTGACTGTGGTGCAGCAGCAGCTGACCATTGTGCAGCAACAGCTGACGGAGGTGCAGCAGCAGCTGTGATGCAGCAACAGCTGACGGTGGTGCAGCAACAGCTGACTGTGGTGCAGCAGCAGCTGACCGTGGTACAATAGTACGTATTTCCCACCCTTTTTACATATGATCGCTTGAGAGATGGTATCTCCTGCTATCTGTTTTTCGTTTATCCACACCAATAACAGTCTCTCAACATCTTCGAGTACTTGTGATCTCTGTTTCGAAAACAAACCTGCACCTTTTGCAAGAACAGCTTCCTTGATTGCCATTTTGTTGGCCACAATAGTAGCAATGGTTGATTGGGGTTTGGTATACAACCTGGCCAGCTCCGAGACATGCACTCCACTTTCGTATTTAGCAATTATCTCTTTCTTCATTTCCATAGTAATTTTCACCTTTTTTACCGCACAGTTGGCACTAGAAGCTTTCTTGGGGCCCATGGTGACTTATTTTGCAGGTACAATCACTAAAAATGCTGTGATAATATGAAATGTACTGATTGTATGCGTGGATGCAACCGCACTGGCTGGCTTGTAAACACTGGCACCCACGGGGTAGCTGAAGCGCGCTCAGGCCACACATGGGACGCATCCCGGACCGGGACGAATCACGTGAGGCGAGTTTTTTAGCGTATCGTATGGCGGATTTAACATAACACAAAGCCATCGTAAGGTGCGGGTCCACTGTATTTGTAGTCTTTATGTGGGGTGAGAGGTGAGTAGTATTTATTTGTAGGAAGTCAGGTGTAGGTAGTATGGTAGCCAGCCAGGACACCCCACCCACACATAATATACCATGACATTTAAAGCGCCCCAGAGCAATAAAATGCATATACCCCTACTATCCGACTTACGACCTGCTCGACATACGACCACTCGACTTACGTCCATGTTTTTTATGCCAAATTTCTGGGAAATAAACAACTGTTTGTGTTGTACACAGTGTTTATCCTAAACCTTACAGTATAAAATACAGTACTAACAGCATAAAAAGTAAAGGAAAAAATGAAATGCCAAAATAAAACAATAAAATAAAGTCATTACAAAAATGTAATGTTGATATTCAGTAGTAAGGTTCGATTTACGTCCATTTCAATTTACGACCAGTATCTCGGAACCGAACTCGGTCGTAAGTCGGATGGTAGGTGTACTTTGTAAATATTTAACTGAGTTTACTCTAGTTTCCACTGCCATCGTTTATCAAATGGTAATTAAATTTAACACTACTGAAAAGAATTTAAACTGCCACCAACGCCAATACCGGCCACACGTTACAACACGCATATTCACAACATAAACAGACAGATTGCAACTGGGTGTGTGCTGCATTGAATGCAGCTCCTCGCTGCCAGATGTAATGCCAGTAATACCTATGCTATCGTACCGCATTAAACTTATATTTTTAATAATTTATCTCGTTTAAACAAAAAAATAAAAAATTTGCTTATAAATACATTGAAAACAACATACAACATATTTTTCCTGACAGTTGCAAATTATTTTAGCGTAAGGTTGATGAAGTCATATGTCTGGCAGTGAGCATCTGGGGGGACTGCAGCTCTGCTGCTCCCATGGACAAGCTGCCAATGTGTGTATTATTATCATTATTAATATGGCATCAAGACTAATAAGACACTCTTAGTGATTTTAATGTGTACCTGCATGCCAGCAGTGTGTAAGTTTATTTAGGTGCAGGTACACATAATTATAATCATCAGATTATATATAAAATACAAAATAACTTTAAAACACTAGAAATTTTGGAAAGTTTCCAGACACAATGGAGAGGCGCGGCACTCACAGAGCTCACAAGAATGTAAACAAACCAGGTGGGGTGCGGTGACTGTATTAGAAAGTCAGGTTGGGAGAGCCGTATAGAGAGCTTTCATCATAATTTGAAATGTCCATATTAGCGGAACATCGTAAGGAGAAATGCAATAAAATGGGGCCCTACTGTATAGTATTTCAAAACTATTGTAACTCATACCCCAAAAAACATGGTTTATGGTCATTTTCTTCAAGACCTCAAAAATGCAACTTTACTTTTTTCTTGGACTTTCACAATCACAAAAATAAATAGCAGGCGCTGTATCTCCCTTCATCTGCTTCCTTCTTATCCACAATGACAACAGTTTTTCCATCTCTACGATAATTTCTCTGCCTTTTTTCACTAGCTTAGATTCATCAGCAACTTTCATATTCTTCATAATTTCTTTTTGTTTATTAATAGTAGAGATGGTTCATCTTGGAAACCCATACACACCAATGCACTATTTTGAAACTCCATGGTTTTTACAATTTCATCAGAGAAACTGTCTGTTTACTGATAATTTGGTAATACAAAACATGAAGTAATTAAATTACAAATGTA